AAAAACAGTCAGTGGTATGGTGGATGATGATGTACTGGGCTGCAGACGCAGAGGTCACTCCTGGGCTGGTCGAGGTGCAGGTGATGATGGCTGTAGACAGAAGAGCAGGGATAAACTGGGTAAGGGAGACTGGCATCGACCTGGGATGGCGGTGGCTGGTGGTGTAGATTAAATCCAGGGGGGTCCAGAGGAGAGGTCCGAAGAGGAAGAAGACACTAGAGACGGCAGGACAGGATAACGACTAGGGTGCTAACAAGGACTAGAGAGAACAAAGACAATCTTAGCATAAACTTGATATAACAACCACTGGCCTGAAGACAGAGAAAGAACTGGCAGGGGAGTGACTGGTGAACAGTGTATAAGTATGGAGGAGACTAATGAGGTGCAGATGGTGAGTAATCAGGGAAGCGGGGCAGGTGTGTTGAATAGTGTAATCAGTGCAAGGGCTAGGCTAGTGTGAGGAAAAAGAAGAGAGGAAGGTGTAGCTGGGCAAACCTGACAGCCACTGTGAGTCCAGCTCTTCTGTTAGTTCATTAAGGTGGAATCGTGAGTGGGGAGAGTCTGAGAATCTGTACTGAAGCCTCCATGATGCCTGCTGAGGTGTCCTTCAGCCTTATGATATTAATTATGCCCATTCTGCTGTTTTTATCTGAGGTTTCTCTCTCTCTCTCCTCAGCTATGCAGTGATAGCCTATGGCTGTGCAGAGTGTCCCAAGCTAACCTGTGGCCGTGAGGGATGTGACACAGAGTTCTGCTACCACTGTCGACAGCTGTGGCACCCCAACCAGACGTGCGACCAGGCGCGGCGTCAGCGGGCCCGTCACACCTCAGGCGGGAACGATGCCTCCATGCTCTACGTTTTCAATGAAGAACCTGGAGGATGTGAGACTGGCAGCTACTGTTACCTGTGTTGCAGTCTCCATTATCTCTGAAGCGTAAAATTGTCAATTTCACATTTCTGGGCTTTAGCATTTACCAGACAACCAGTAAACTTTAACTCTCAGTAAATAAAAGTATTTTCTAAAATGTCAAACTATTCAGTTAATTGAATAAATAAATACCGCAGAATGTGTTGCCCTTTACAAATTTACTCTATTGCTGTAGATGCAGAGGAGATCAAAGCATGCCCTCGCTGTGGTGCCTATATCATGAAGACCAATGATGGCAGCTGTAACCGAATGAACTGCACTGTTTGTGCCTGTCAGTTCTGCTGGCTGTGTATGCAGGAGATCACCGATGTGCACTACCTCAGGTACCTAGCCATGATCTGCTCACACTCAGTTACACTCCTCAGTTAACCACCTCTATCTGCCTTTATATTTTCAGGCAGAATATGCTACTTAAGTTACCACATTATCTAAATGCTGATTAGGTAAATGTGAATGAAGAGTTTAATCCTTCTGCTTCCCAAGGTCTATTTTACAGAGAATGAAAGGTGTAGATGCACATGCATTTTTAATATATTCATCATTTTGTTTGTCTTGGTTTCTGTTGCAAGATGCTTCACACATACATATGTCAGCTGAGAGCCAGTTTTTGTCTGCCTACACAAGCTGCATTGTCTTTTTATACTTACTCTCCTTTCTTCTCCCCTTGCCCCTCCTTCTTTTCTCTCTCCTCACCCTTTTGTCTTTCACACTCCAAATTGAAGGGCAAAGCTTTTAGCATCTCCCAGTAAATCATCCAGTCCAGAGCCACAACCATAATACCTCACCATAATTCCCCCCACGCAGAATTTTAGAACCCTGAAGTGACATTTGTTGTTGTAACACAAACACATGCTTTGAGAAATAGCACAGCCCTAAGGTGCTATTTGTGTTGACTCCCTGTAAACAGACATAAATAACATTTCTCTATCAGCAAGGTGTAAGGTAAAGGATGTGAACTGTAGTTGCAAATGACTAATTCAGGGAGATAAAGCAGAGTTAAAATAATAAATGCAGACGAGATTGCTTAGTTATGGTGATGACAGTAAAAAAAACAACCTGCAACCTGTTCATGTTGTTGTGTTGCTGTCAATACAGCAATCTTTCACAAGTGTTTCATGTTTGTTGATCGGTTTGGGCGGTTTGAGAGGTCAAAAATGGCTAAAAATGCTATGTTTTATAATGTTAATTTACTGTTTTTTCCCCCCCTAAAGTCTGTACATAATAGTTAAAACTCTTGAACCCTTATCTGTTCTTCTGTATTGTGTCTCCTCTGTATCTCAGCCCCTCAGGATGTACATTCTGGGGAAAGAAGCCATGGTCGCAAACCCGCAAGGTTCTGTGGCAGGTGGGCATGTTGCTCGGAGCACCGGTGGTCATCTCCCTTATAGCAGGCATTGCCATCCCAGTCATCATCGTGGGCATACCAATCTACATGGGCCGAAAGGTACAGCAAACACTGTTTCACAGGAACTAAATACTGAATGTTTCACATACTTGTGTATGGCACTGGTTGCATTTGTGCACTATATTTAAGAGAGCCCAAATTTGTCTTTTTTTGTGTTAGAACAGTGTGATAGCCTGGTGTCCCGTCATGCATGCTGGGTTGCATGTATTAGTGGACATGAATAAGTGACAGGACTAAGTGGGTGCAGACAATGAGAACATGAAGAAGCAAAATTACATTTCCATCATCTGATTTATATTTATTACCTTCCAGGTTCATGGACGTTGTAAAAAAAACAATATCTCAGGAAGTAAGCACTACTTGACAGTGGCGAGTGGGGTGATGATGTCAGTGTTTGTTTCGCCGGTCATAGCAGCTGTCACTGTGGGTAAGGAGCAACAGATCACCACAATGTCCTGAAAGTCTGCAGATTAGGGCAGACACCAAAGAGACCTCAGAGTATGCTAAGTTTTCAGTTCAAATTTTAAGTTTTACTTCTATCAGACATTCCAGTGTCTGAGGCAGTATTGGTGTGGATCAAAAAGTGATTCAAAATAAAAATCTATAAATCTATATACTGTTTAATCTATACAGAAGGTGTAAAAACAAACATTTTACCCTGGGTAAAACTGCAATATGACAATTTTACCCCTCTGACAGAGCCAGGGTAACCTGCTGTGTACAGTCTTGGTTATAAGATAAGTTAACCGGCTGCTGGTAGCAGCTTCACATTTACTGTACATGTGTGAAAATGCTGTGTATCTCCACATGTCAAACTATTCCTTTAATAAATCATAAGATGTAAACCTCTGAACATGTATCCAGACTTATTCTGGAATAAAACGTTAGTGTACAGCCATATAAATACTCACAAGCCAGGTTTCTGTACCACTTGTTTCCTTTACCACAGAAGCGCACAGTGCAAAGTGACATTTTAATGACTCATGCCACCTCCTACTGGAGGTAACATTTGCAGCTGTGACAAGGCTTTAGCAGATTCTCAGCCTACTGTCACAACCATTGGTGTACCGCACACTGATGGGCCTCTGTTGGCACACACTCACTCAGACACACATTTATCTGCACTGCACTCTACACCCTCACCTCCTACTCCCGTGTAGCTCTCTCTGCTGTTTCTGTGCCCCTTCTGTTTCATTTTTCAGTCTGGCTTCACTTTGTCTCTGCCATACGTTTGATCATATCACTTCTGTTTTGCACTCTAACTGCTCTACAATTGTTATTTTGCTTCTTATATTTCAGTCACAGCTCTGAGTCTTGTTGTCTCTCTTTTTGACTCTCACGTTCACTCCTCTCTCTGGCTGCCAGGCCCACTCTCTTGCCCTGGTTTCACCGTCACTGAGTTAATAGTATCCCAGTGTTCCTGCTGTGTTAATGATGTCCCTTTCTTTGGTTGGAATTGTGCTTTATGTTAGCAAATTCCTATCTCAATCACAGGCTTCATAATCAACGCAGCACAGGGAGGCTGCTGCTCATCAAGTTTGAGGTTTGTTGAAGGTACATTTGTGAAAGAGTGGGGAAAAACTGAACTTTTAAAATAAATTTACTTTGCCTGTGTAATTATGCACTGAGAAGACAAATGATACCTTTCAAGTGTCCACTGTGGGATGGTTTTGCACTTCTCAACATAATAAACCAATAATTTCATATATAATAGTTAGAATGCCCTTTGTTGTTGTTGTTGTTGTTGTTGTTTTGGTAGGAGAAATTGCATAAATATGCAGGTTTAAAAAAGCCTTTTTAGATCAGTGTGAACCACAAAATGAAGCAGGATGGGCTCCCCCTTGTGTTGGTTTTGGGTTATTGTGATAATACGATGATGAAAATGCCAAACTCTTTAAAAGGGAATGCTGTCTATTTAACGTGCCATAAAACATAAGTTCCATAGATATAAAAGTGTATTTACTAGTCATGAGGAGCCTGTGAAAGCAGGTAATGTCCACTGTGGAGGAGCTATGTCAGATCTGAGAAAATTAGTGAAATGACACCGTGGCATCGTTTAGACTTGAAGACCACAATTTTTTACATTCTAAGACGTCTAGGATCCATGTTGGACCTTGACCCATACTTGTACATAACTAACAGTCAGTGTATTTTGTCCTGTGCTGCCCCACAGGTTTATTGAAGTACAATATTAAAGGACTCTTATAATAACCATGTGTATGTTGTAGTTGGGCACAAACTGTAGACAAATGGTTATGATTGCATACAGTATTACAGATTGGGTTCTCATACTTTTCTGTTTTCTTGCAGGTGTGGGTGTACCACTAATGCTGACTTATGTCTATGGCGTGGTCCCCATGTCGCTCTGTAGGAACGGTTGGTGTCGATCACAGAATGAGCCTCCTGAAACACAAAAAATTCAACTGGAGGACTTAGCCAGCTGTGAGTACAGAGTCTAATCACTGTAAAGTTTAGGCCAACAATAATCAAATACCAAAGTAATTCACACTGCACTGAGTTGTAATTTTTGCTCCGAAGCACAGCCTCATCTGAGTTTCAACTTCTCTTATAGATCTTCTATTCTCTCATGTAGTCAGTGACCACTGGACGGGTCAGAACAACTCGTCGCTCAGTGACACCAGCGTCCAGGAAGTCAGTGTACAGGAAGTAGCCATCCTCCCAAGTACAAGCACCACAGCCCTGGAAATAGATAGCTATGTTGAACTGGATGAAGCCACAACACGCCATGGATACAGCCAGCAAAACAGCCAGTCAGACTGCGAGGCAGTTATTGTGCCTTACAGCAAGCATGATGACACACAAGCGCTTCCTTTGAGGTACCTTTATACAGTTATTTAAACGTACTATATAGTCAGTTGTCAACTCACAGGGCCACTCTATGCCTAGTCTAGTACTGAATAACTTAGTTCTACATTGACTACTCTGTGTGTTTATTGTCACCACAGGGAGGGAACCAATATTGAGGTACGTGTGGAAATCGAGACCCAACGTAGAGGCGCACGCCAGCCAAGCCTAAGTAGCATCCTGTCTAGTCGAAGCTTGTCAGTGGAATCCCTGGGACACTCGCAGTCCCAGTCTCAAGACTACCTGTATGCCTCAGAATTGGAAGAAAGGCAGGAGGGGGGAGGAGGAGGAGACACAGAGGAGCAGAAGGGAAGAGAGAAACCAGAAGGGGAAGCAGCAGGAGGCAACAAAGGGAGAGTTTTCCCAGTCTTTGAAATAGACCATGTATGAGGTCCTCCAATGCAGGCTTTGTACATGGTTGAACATTTAGTCAGGTTTTATGGAAACAAACAAATCCATGAGCTGACATGTCAACAGACTGACCTGAAAATCACTGGCCAAGGCCACCTCCTGCTTCTAAGTCGGGCCCTCCCACCAGATGCCTTCTAGCTCCACCCTGTGAGGGAGACACGGGTTTTTAGAGAGAGCAGATGAAAAAGATGAGAGTGTGTGTGTGTGTAGGAGACAAACAACTTGAGACTATGACATAGAAACAAAAGGGGGATTAGCTGTAAAGCAGACAGGATAGCATTAATCAACAAATCTAAAACAGAAGTGACTGAGAGCATGTTAGCTGATAGTTCAGTCTGAAAGTGACTACCTTATTCCCCCTCTGTTGTGAGTCTGTTCCATGAAGCCTGTCTGACTGTACTCGTATACTTCTTTTAGTGACCTAACCTCCTTCCTCTTCCTTTACAAATAAAGAAAGCCCCACAAGCATGATAAAAACAGTCTTGTCAGTGAGTAAATGTCAAACATTTCCCAAGCCAAGAGTATTTTTTTGAAAATCTCCAGAACTTTAGCATGCAGTGTTCACACCTGAATTGGGTGAGAGATGACGCATGCTGCATTATTTGATTACTTAAATCCAGTCAAATGTTGAAATGACATATGAAAAATCTATAAGCCATGTAGTGGTTGTTCTCTGTTGGAGTCAAAGAAGCTCCGTGACATCATGGAAATGACAGTTTGAATAAACTGAAGGGTTTATACCACAGTAAATACCACAATTCATAACTATTAGTCAAGGATATATGGTCTTCCATGGGTTGTGGAGAGAAATAAAGATTTCATCATGAAGGACAAAAACATAATGCACACTTTGTACGTGTCAGAATTATTTTTTCAGTAAAAGTTCAAGTGTAGACAAAGAGTTCCCTCTTCTAATGAGGAATATGTATTTCTACTTTTTTGCAGGTTAAGGTATGACGCTCAGACCCTGTGTTGTTGGCCACAGGTCTAGTTCAAGAGTTTTTTTTCTTCTGTTATTTGAATAGTTTTTTTTTTTTAAATAAAGATTTTTAAAGCAGTCAGACAATTCACAAGAAAAATATGTGAGGGAAATGACTGACATGTTTTCTTCTATTCCTCTCCTGTCAATCATTCCATGACCACTTGGATTCATTTCACACAACCCTTTGTGGAGGAAACCAGTGTCCACCAGGATGCCCCTAATTAATTTTTTCTTTATCTGATTATTTAAAATATAACTTATGGTGTCATTTTGTTTAGGAAACCTACTGCTACTAACTGATTTCCCCGGATATTATAATGTTTATACTGTATGCCGGTAGAGGGCGCCAACATACCAATAAAATAAAATAAAATAAAAATAAAAATTAAAAATAAGGGGGGTCCAGGGAATGTTGGGATAATGGTTTTAATTGGCTGTAGCCTAGTCCATAGCTAAATTTGTAATCTGAATTACGTCATTAGTTTAAACAAGTTTACGATGCAGGGCCATAAATGCTTAAACACATTAATGGCATACTTTAGATAAAACTAGACAGCAGTAACTCTACCACAGGTTAATAAACCACAGAAAATCCTGGAAGCCAAGAAGTTCAACTGGAAGCTCAGACAAACTCGGTGAGCGTCACTGTAGTGGTTTTCCATTAAGGTCGCTCCTTCACGCTGGAGCACTTGAGGAGAAGCTTCTTCCAGCTGATGAAGGTCGGAAGGACACGCCCTTAACTCCGAAACGTTTGTCAGCTGCTCAGTGAAGCGGAGGAACAGGCCGAGCTGTCCTCACTCCCCTCTCCGTGGCGCATCCTCCGTCGAGCTCAGCCCGCTGTATTCAGCTCCCTGTGGTCCACGTGCCGGGGAGCAAACGCGCCTCGGGATGGACGCTCTGAAATCCGCCGGTAGAGCCATTATCAAGAGCCCCGGAGTTCCGCGGCACACCTGGGGAACTTCCAAGCACGAAAGTGAGTGAGAAAACGTGTGTTCCGGTGCCTGGCTTTGGTTCACTGCTGTAAAACTGACGACGTAGCAGAGGTCGTGTTGTCTGTCAGAGCGGGAAGGGAGGACGGTTTGTGCCCGTAGCTGTTCGTAGGGAGCTGGGGGGCGGTTGTTTGTTGCAGAGCTGAGATTCAGTGTGCAAAGCGGTTTTATTATGTGCTTAAGTCTCTGGCGCTTTGCTTTACTTACTTTTGAGTGGTATGGGGAGTTGGTCCTTGCCAAAACAATTACAGCTTAAATCCAAACTATCTCATTAACAAAGATGCGGAAAATTAGACGAATAACCAAGTAAACCCACATCCGGTTGGTGGTGTTTATATAATCTTGAATGTCATATTTTTTGGATTCTAGACCATTAATGCTGAAAATGGCATTTGAAGGAGCTGCGAACTTGTGACGAGCAGCTTCTGCTTTCCCCCATTTTATAGCTTAAATCATTAATCAATAAAATACATTTGCCAATGATAAAAAAGATGCTGCAGCCTTAAAATTAAAGGCTACACTAAGATTTCACTTGTTTGCACACTCAAATCCTACAACTGCACGTAAATGTCCTGCTCTTAAGGAGTGTACAGTAACTAGAACATTAATTTGTTCATTCTGTTGGACTTGTCTATTGCTATGCTACTGGAAAAAATCACTTACATGTGTATTTTTCATCCATACACTAAAGCCAGTAATATATATACACCAACCAACCAAATAACATTCACTGAATACTTGTATTATATAGTATGCTCTATACTTCTCACATTATTCAGAAAATATACAAAATGTGCACGACGGCCATGACTGTGTGGAGTACAGGATGATGTGAGTGCTGAGTGAAAGGTCAGAGCAACGACCCCTGTCACACAACAGAGTGCGGGGACACCTTGTTGCCTGTGGCTCTGCTGTCACAGCGACGTATGAAAGGGTGTCTTGAAGGCGCCCTCCATGCAGCTACATCACCTATAAAGCTTCTCGCTGCCATTAATTCTAGCATGCTGCTTTTGCCTCGTTCTGAATTCCTGCTTAGTGATCAGATGCTCACGCCAGACTTTCAGCAAGTGTGGCTGAATAATTTCACAGGCAGGAGGATATGCTTGGGTTCATCATGAGCTTGTGGAAATGTTCTACATAAAAGATTGAATACTGGGTGTTGAGTGTTTTAAGTCTGAGTTCCTTCACTGGACTGGGGCTTTAATGAGTCCATCTGATGGCTTTGGAGCACATGATGTCAGCCTTATGTGACAGGTTGTCCTAATGGATTTGGATTGTTGGCTGTTGATGGTTGCTGGGCTGAAACATTTGATCTTTGTGCAAACACTGATGGATAGGAGTTCTTATTATTTTCCTCAGTACTGCCAACATCACTGTTTCTCCATTGTTACCATAAGGACAGACGCTGACAAACCAACCGTCAACATGTTACATGGACAGACACTGTTAGCAGGAGCCTCTGCATTGTGCTTTCCTGCTCTTATTGTTGTTGGTGTCAAAAAGAGAGGGAAGAAAGGCAGGATGTTTCTCTCAGAGCAGGATCCAGCTGGATTTCAGTGCCCGACGACAGAAGCAGTTTGTGTCTGAGAGCAATTGGAGGAATTGGCCTAGAAAAATGTGAACACAGCAGTCACAAACAGTACAGACAGTCAGGGTGACTACCGATGTCCACAAGCTACTTAGCAGGCAAGTTGGAGGGAGGACAGCGTCTCTATGCCAGCATGTAGCGATGTGTCAGATCTGGCTGTCGGAAGGCAACACTGCAGCTGTTTGGCAGATTCACACCAATTAGGTGTAAGTAGTATTTGAAAAAAGTGCTGAATAATTTGAGTCCTGGGGGAAAGTGCATACAAATGTGGACAAAAAGTCACTTTAGTTAAATAATCTCACTTAATAACAATACACTAGGGATTTAAAGGTGTTCATACCGAACTGTTAAGTTCAGGGGACGTGTCCTTTTGAAGGCTGCTTTTGAGAACAGCGTCACAACAAGGCTGTCGCATTTTGAAGGCTTCTTCAAATGTGGCTGAGAATTGCATCCTTTTGCCAGCAATGAAGGCTCCAGCTGGTGGATCCTTGGCGGCCCACCCTGTCCCAAGATTCTTTGTGCGCTGGCAGAAAGCAGAGCAGCTGTCAAGGGTAACTCAACGGTAAGGGCAGCAACAGTTGGAAACATAAGTAGGAAATCCTTCATAGACCAAGCCATCTCATTTCAGTTCAGCCTTTGCGGTCTACAGTGGACACAAAGGCTACGGAGAGCATCCTTCGAAGGCTGCAGCCCCTGAATTGAGAACAGCTGTTAATAGTAGTTAACATTTGGCTTGTGTGTGTGTATGTGTGTGTGTGTGTATATATGTATGTATGTATATATATATATATATATATGAAGTACTTTTTTCCCCTTACTGTACTACAAATGAACTTAACCATGACTTCAAATGTGAGGTACATCTGTGTACCGTTACACCTGTACAATATACTGTTAAGTTGTTCTTAAATAGTGAGATTATGTAGATGCTTAGTTATATGTTGGAAAATCAGTATCACAGTAGGATATTTGAGATAAAAGTTGGATGTGTTTAATATGCCAGACCATCAGTACCAAAACATTAGCATCACCGCATCATTTTAAATGAGACTAAGCTGTTATTTATTTGGGGGCAGCAGAAGGTGGTGCTCTAAATGAAATATACCAACATAATATATTTTGGTGACCTTTCTACCACACCCCTCAAAGGCCACGCTTTGGTCAACAATTTGTGAAAGGCCACCAATCTTTAAAAAAAAAATAAAAAAAGACCAAAAGCAGCCACTTTAGCAACGTTGATGTGTAACAGGCAGAATTTATTTCTTTCCTTCCGTACTAACATAAAAGGAACTATTTGTAGCCAGTCTTCAGTTTTTTTGACCATGTACAGCACTTTGCCGTTGCCCCTGGTGATTGTCTGTTGTCATCTGTTGAAGGCAAGGCACTGGCAGGATAGAAGACGATGCAGCATGTGCCTGGAGTACAACCCATCCCTTTGGCTCACATCACAGAGAAGCAGGATGGAGCTTTCGGCATCTCAGAAGTCACACACATGTTGCCCTTGGCACCAAGGACATCTGTGCTGTACATTCTATCAATTTTAAATCGTGTAGCTTTGGGACAGGCTTACTGTAGTTGTATCCATTAAGACTGTGTCCTTGCTTTTTTTTTTTCTTTTTTTTTTTAAATACAAACCTTTTGGTGCTGTAAATGTCCTATCTTGGATCTGCTGCACAGCTGTGTAGCACAGAATAATCTGAAAACTTGCTTTGTGTAGTACCTGATGACACATCACAAGTGTGCTGCAAGCTTTTATCACTTTGAGGAAATTGTCCGGAAAAGAGCTTGATCTGAAATTAGTGGACTCAGTCATTAGGCGCGAGTGGTTGGAAACTGTGGCAGTGAATTCCCCTTACAGTTCTTGAGCAGCAGTGCTGCCTGACACTACTGCTCAAGGTGCCATTAAATCTCAGTGGCTTGTTAAGACATTCCAGTGAGAAGGAGGAGGAGGCAGAGCAGAAGTGACATGTGGGACATACACAGGCTAATGATGGAGAGAATGTCAAAGAGTGGGGTGAAGGCTGGGATTAGTGTGTGCCGCAAACTACAGGGGATTCCCATACTTTGAATGTGTTGAATACGGAGTTGTGATTTGACTCTTGGGCTATGTAGATATGTGCTATGATGCACAACTAAAGTGTCATTGTTGAAGCATTAGTATTTAGTATAAAATGTCTTTGAATCCAGAGCGATTAAAGAGCTATTTCACCCATTTACCCTTAATAATATCTAACCTTGCGGATAGCTTTTCTTTGTCCAGTTTGAGAGAGGTGCTATTCTCAGGTCAAAGATGCTGAATGGAACTTCATCTGTGGTTCTGAAAAATGTACAGATAAAGCAATAAGCAGCCAAGGTGTTCCCCTTTACCCTGGATACCTAGAACATACACAGTCATTTAGAAGGCCAGTAAAACAGCATAAGGTATTAGCTGAGCTTCCATATGTCAGACAATGATTTAACTGAATGGATTTCTCACCTAAACTCTGCATAATTCATGCTCACAACCTCATTGCTCGCCAGTAGCAGACTGAGATTTAGATTAGGTGATAAAGTGCTGCCGAATGAGTTTTCATGGTGCATGCTTTGAGGAAAGCAACCTGTGTAATGGGTTTCTTATTTCAAAGATCAGCAGTTGCCAAAGCTGTGAGGTATTGCTTGCATAGAATTGATGACTTGAAGTTATTTAAACCCATCGTATGTCCTTCAGGGTGCTTTGAATTATTTATTCCTCCAAAAATTCACAGTCCTCGTGAGATTATTGGGATTTGGTTCTGTTTGTTTCCTATAGTCCTCTTTAAAGTAGAGATGCAGCACTAACAGGTTGAGACACTGCATCATTAGTGGATTACTTTAACAGGTTTAATGAATATTTTATTTTTCCTATTGACCAGTACTTCATAGCCATAAGCACGGCCTGTGTCTTAAACTGAACCCAATGATACCTTTGAGAAATGACTCCAGTTCAAGTCACTTTTTTTGTTGCCTTTTCCCACTAAAGAGAAGATACAGAATTAAATGGATTTATAGGATATTGTCCCATTCAGTGTGGTTTTTGAGCAGGTTCGTTTGGGCAGGTGTGAACAGTGTCATTCAAGCTCACACTGGTTTGACATGTGCTTCACCACACTATAACCGCTTCTCTTGTCACACTTGTCATTTGCAGTTGCTATGGGTATTTTGACATTAATTATGCCTTGTTCTTTTCCTGTCACAGGTTTAATAAAAGCTTAGCCGGAGCCCATCCCTCCTTTTACTCCACAACTATCATTTCTGCACTAATACCTTAAAATACTTGTGCTGGTGGTTCACCTTAATTCCTCCTCGTGATTTAAGGATAACGGAGGATGTTTTAGCCGACAATACACTGAACAGTGGGAGTTAGTGTCAGGGCACTGG